GAGAGAGGGAGATGGAGAGAAGAGAGAAGAGGAGGGAGAGAGAAACGAGAGAGAGGAGACCGAGAGCGAGCGAGGAGAGAGCGAGCGAGAGAAAGCTGAGACGAGAGAGAGAGAGATGAGAGAGAAGAGAGAGGGTGAGAGAGCTCGATGAGGAGAGAGAGGAGAGAGAGAGAGATGAGAGAGGAGAGCGATGGAGAGCCGAGAGAGAGAGAGAGAGGAGCAGAGAGAGATCTAGAGAGCTGAGGGCACGACTGATTGCGAGGAATGCCAGCAATGAAATTACACACGGCACTGACAAAAGCCGAGCCCGTGCTGCATACAAAAGCCGGCTGACATTCCGCATGACTTGCTGCTCGAGGAGATCTCCTGCCCTAAAGATGGCAAATACAGGTGAACACGGACGAGCAGCCGCGCACGGCGAATGCGGAACGGCCGCACAATACAGCGCCACGCGGATGAGAGCAAAGATGCAGCTAACAGCACACAAATAGCCCGCTGTCCAAATAACGGTCCGCCACTCGACGATGATGCTGACTTCTGCTTGCTTGGGCTATACGCTAAATTTGTTGACGAAAACCGTACTAGTCTTCACCGTTTTATTGTGAGTTTTAGTGTGTTTTTTTTGTATGAGTTTTATTGGAGGAGTTTAGCGACACCTTGTCGCGACGTTTCCGACACTTTACCCTACGACTTTCTAGAGTGAGAACGTGGTTACGTTGGTGTGTACGTGTAATGTTGTACTTGCCCACAAAACATGTCGAACCAGCTGATAATAAATTCTGGGTCGTTCGTGACGGCTGCAAGAGACTGTTATATAGTTTCCAACACGCGAGCAGTTATGCAATTTCTGCAGAGTATAGCTAGAAAGAAAATCACAATAATTCTCTCTCTCTCGCTCTCTATATATATATAATTCCCCTTATAAACCCTAGTTTCTTAGTACGTCGATGCATGGAAAGTTCCACGCGTATACACTTGGCCTTGCACTGCTTACTAGTTGTGCTGTCATTCTGGAGAAAGTACAGCATTTAAAGCTATAGATAGACAAAACCGTAGCTGCTCGTTGTTCGCGGTAAAAT